GTAAAAAAAAAAAAAAAGGAAAACCAAACCTTCCAGAGCCCAGCTTCAAGACCATATTTCTTGGTAACTTCTTCAGCAGACGAGGGATTTCCAATCTCCTCTGTTTTCTCCTTCAAAGCCCTTACCCTAAATCTGGTGATGAGGGACTTATCATTACTCGAAATTGAGATACAAAATAATCTGTTGATTTTACCATTTGTTGGAGCTGAAAACGAGATGGGTTTGCTGCTAAGGCAATGCGACGGGATTTGCAAAACGGTGGCCATTGATTTTCAAAACTGAATTTTTTTTTCTAGCGGTGGACAGACGGACAGCGTGAAAATGATAAATTCCAAATATACACAAGATCGAAATTGTGACAACTTGACAAGTTACACAGTTTCAGCCTCTTTTTCCAGTATTAGCAGTCGAACCAATCATATGTATGAATAAAAATACATACTTATATTATTAAATATTTTACTTTTTGTTAATATTATTACGTTTTTTATTTTGTGTGTGTGAAATCTTCTAATAAAAGTGTAGGCATTTGTGGTAAAAATATATAGGCCTAATGGTTAGGTTTGTGACTGACTGTCATAGAAGGACTGCCGTCAACAAATATGTCAAGCTACTTGTTCAATAATTGACTACAGTGATTGCATCAATTGAATGTATTTAATTTATTAATATTGTTAAATTCTAGAAAAGCACTCTTAATTAAATATTCAGACAATTTAAAAAAACAATCAAATGCTTCAATAACTGATTCATAATTTACACATATTTGTTATGTATAATTATATATTTTTTTAAATATTAAAATATTATATATACATACATATTTATATAAATACATTTTTTTCTTTAAATGTGGACCCGTCCAACCCTGTCCGACTGACCAACTTTTGAACTATTTTCATCGATTCAACAGATTATTGCCTTGTTTTTTAGGGGGTGATTGTTTATGGGTTGAACTAGTTTTTATTTGGTTTATTTTTTAATTATAGTTAATTTTAAAAAAAGCTGGTATGGTTAGTTGTTAGTGGATATATTAAAATAATATTGAAATAAAATAATTAAGCTTGATTTGATGTAAAGTAGGAGAAAAATAATTGAAAATGATAGTTAGTTAGAGTTATGTGAGTGAATGAATAGTGAATTAAAGTTGATGTGATATGTAAAAGTGATTAGTTGATATTATTTAATTATGTTGATAATATTTTTGATAGTGAAGTTGAGTTAAAGTTGAGTCAAATTTGAGTTTTGATTGAATTTTTTACTATTCAATTCATATACAATCACCCCTTACTAATTCACTGATAATCGGCGCTTTGGCCTATTTAATAAATATATAAACAAGTTTATATGAATTAGTAGTATTTGAGTTTGCCAGCAACTTGTGAAAGATATATATAACAATAAACAATCTATATAGATTACAGTACATGTCACAACTCACAATAAAGAATTACGGCTATAGTCATAATATTACATGATTCATTGAATAAATTAATAAAATATTCAATTTAAATTGGCTATACTTTAATAAATAAATCGCTAGTAAAAAAAGCTCCTGAAACTCATACTCGCTTAACTAAATTAGTCGAACTCAAACACGTAACTTTTGAACTCGAGGCTTTATGAAGCTGAGCAAAATTCGTCTCATTGACTAAACAAGATGCCCTTGTTTATCAAATGAAAGTCAACCCGAAATTCGAGTCTTGACGAGTCGATTTGAGTCAAATCCACTAACGAGTCAGCTTGTTTAGTAATACTTATAATTGAAATAATTAACGGTCCAAAATCCAATTACTTGTATTTTAGTACTACGTAACTTTAGACAATTTTTCTGGTCCAACTTGGACCATAATGTTATTGCTGGAAATTAAATGATACTCGATCAAAGTAGTACGCCTGTTGTTGAAACTTCAATATTAATGAAGTTAAACCATATAACATGGCAGTTGTGGCTAATTATAGTGTTTGGAGAAAGGTTAAACCAATTACCTAATAATCAGGTATGAATATAATAATTAGAGGTTCCTTGATTTTGAAATCTTCTATTTATATATATATATTTTTAATTTTACATACTTATGAAATTCGTAATTTGTGTAGATAAAATAAGAATGGTGCACATAAAATTGAACACTTAGGGGGTGATTGTTTATGCATTGTACAGTAAAAAAACTAATTCAAACTCAAATTGAACACAACTTTAACTCAACTCCATTATTTTCAATATTATTAATATAATAAAATAATATCAACCAATCATTTTTATACATCACATCAACTTTAATTTACTATTCATCCACTTACATAATTTTAACTAACTATCACTTCCAATCATTTTCTCTTACTTTTACATCAAATCAACTTTAATTATTTTATTTTAAATACTATTTTAATATATCCACTAACAACTAACCATACCACTTTTTTTTCAAACTTAACTATAGTTAAAAAAAATTAGATTTTTACTAATTGAATTCATATCCAATCACACTCTTAATGATGCGTGTTATAGTGATACGTAACTCATGTTGTAAGACTTAGTGCCTTTATTATGAAAAAAAATATATATAAAAAAAAAATCAAATGTAAGTGATTGAATTTCAAGAGATTACATAACTAGATTGGATTTCATGATTAGCTAGGGAAGGGCTCAAAGAACCTATTACCATAATAAGATCATTTAGTTGGGAGTCTTGGACCATACCTCTCTATTTTTTATTTCATTATTAACTCAAATCCATACTTTATTTCGACTAAATGGTTTTTAATATTAGTTGTTTGCCCGTTCCTTTCAACTCACGATAATAATTTTTTCTTTTAAATTATTTTTGGAGCTCTAAATAGGCTTTATCCAAACGTATTCATCGAGTCTAACCAAGTCGAGTAACTTATATTTGAACTTATGCTCACTTAACAAATGAGCAAATTCATTTAATAAACAAGACGAAGGCTCGGCTTGTTTATTTGTGAGCATTAAATGCCGTTCGCAAACAACTTAAACTCGACTATTACATTTGAAATATCATGAACAAAATATGACGGCTCATTTAATAATAAAAGAGCTTGATTAACTCTCGATCTCACCTCATCGAACTCACACATTCATAAGTCGAACTGAACTATAACTGCGCAAGAGTTGATTCGTTCAACAGTTAGAGTTGTTTCAACAGTTATAGTTATAGTTCTCGTTGTTCATGTTATAAATAAGTGGAATAAAAAATACATATATGTGACTTATCAATTTCCAAACCAAGAATCATGAAATTAACACATTGTTTTTACACCATTCTTTATTCCAAAATTTAAAAACACGTATTATAAAAATCTTAAATAAAGAATTAAAGATCTAAACAATGGTGAAAAAATTTTAGAATTTCATTTTTATATATAGTTCCTCTTCTTAGCTAGTGATGCACGACCATATTATATAGTTCTACTAAAAAAATCATCACAACCCCGCCACCGACCGCCACAACTCCGCCGCCAGTCTCCCGGCGACATGTGTCCCTGCAAAATACCCAAATGGAAAAGCATTCTCACCGCAAAGACGGGCTGCGTATGCGGCCCAAAATCAACAGACATAATCCAGCCCACACAAAGGCCCAAAACTCCGAAAATTCCCGATCAAAAGCCCATCCACCGTCCCTTTTCCTCCGGCGCCTCCACAAAAGGCGACTGGAAGCCCGCCACGGATTCCGATGAGCCGGACCACCGCGCCGCCAGCGGCGGCGGCTCCCTCCTCCCCGAGCGAAGCTCCTCTAAAACGGTCGCAGCCGCCGGATGCCATAAGATCCACGACAGCCTCGCCGTCGTCAAGGATTCCGACGACCCGTACCTGGATTTCCGGCGGTCGATGCTCCAGATGATCTTCGCGCATGAAATCTACTCGACGGCTGATCTGCAGCAGCTCCTCGACTGCTTTCTGCGGCTGAATTCGCCTCGCCATCACGAGACCATCGTCCGGGCATTCGTGGAGATATGCAGCGGCGGCGGCTCCGCCACGGGGGAGGTGGCTGAGCCTGTATTTCCGGTGGGGTGTTCGTGTGAGGGCCAGGGGGTGGATAGTTGATTTTGGGGGCTGCCATGTGAAAGACATTAAAATTTACAGGTGGCTTTTGAAAAAAATAAAAAATAAAAAAATCCACAGTGGAATTATTATTATTAATTATTATTATTGACAAATCTCTCGGTAATTGTATACTTTTGTCCAAGTCTTGAAGACTCGAGCTTGAGCAACATTTGAAAAAAAAAGCAATCAAGCCTAATTCTAAAAGATTAATGCTCGACTCTGTTCAGTTTATTTGCAGTTCTAGTTTCATTTTAGTTGACTTTCTAGAATAGTTATAAACTTGTTAGCTAAACGAATTCGAGTTGAGCTCGTTTATCTATACTAACAACTCAAATTTTAAGTGTTTGTTTTGTTGAGCAAATTGCCTATCGAATTCTTTACACAAACCAATTAAATATCGTTGAGCTAGTTTGTTAAATTGAATAACTCTAAAATGAGTAACATTTAATCATATTATGCGACTTGTTCAAGAGTTTGACGAGATGGGGTTGAGTCAGGTCAATGTAAACCCATCCTCATGGCTTTGGGACCCTCGTTTTGACCTTAGATTCGCTCGTTTGAAGCACTGTCGCATACAGATTTTGAGAGCTATGCAGGTCCGTCCAACCATAAGTTGTGGTGCACCAGATAACAAAATCATGAAGATAAGTCATCTAACTAACGCACGAGCACATGAAGTATGATGGTCGCATCCGACAACCACATAGCAATGTGTTTATTTATTAAATATTTAAATTAACATTGAAAAATTTATAAAAACTAAGTTCCTTCCTTGTTGGTGATTAGTGATCCCTCAAATTACCTGTAGTGGTCTTCGTATACAACAGGCTATCTCATACTCATACTCATAGTGCATCTAGGTAGTTCAAACTTAGGTACATTATCCGATCTTAGTACCATTAGTGCATCCTATGGTCATTTCTGTTGATCAATTAGACGAGCAGCCAACACAAGGAAGACTAGTAGCAATATAGGTTTCCCCCCTTGTTTTATGTTTATGGGAGAGTGAGAAGTGTTAGTTACCATAGTGACGCGACAAGTCAGCGACCATCATCCACAGTGAGAAAATATATTATTCATCAATTTCATATTTACACCTTTTTATTACCGTCAGTACAAGTTATTCAACAAAATTTATTATTCATCCACCTATATACTTGTAACTATAAATCGTAACTTCGATTCATCCACTCATATACTATAATTGCAAATCATTATTTTACTATTATATATAATGAAATTTATTATTATTTTTTATAATACGTCACTTTGTACTAAATATATTCTTTAATTATTCCACTAAATTTCTTTCTTCCATATGAAAACTTTTTAACTAATTACATTTTGTTTGGGGGAGAAATATTTTTTAGTCTATCCACAATTCCACACAAGACAAAAACGTTGTGGCACGTAAAAACGATTTTAAAGAAAATATAACAATTTATTTGATCTATCAAACACGACGTCACCATCCATATAGGCAAACGTGTTCAGTTTCTCCTGGTCACAGACTCGGACAAAAAGCCTTCTTCTCCAATCCTCTCACAAAAGATTAAAAAAAAACCCGAACCTGCTTAGCAGGATCCGATCTGCATCCGGAATCATGAACGACGCCGACGTTTCGAAGCAGATCCAGCAGATGGTCCGCTTCATCCGCCAGGAAGCGGAGGAGAAGGCCAACGAGATCTCCGTCTCCGCCGAGGAGGTTCGGCTTTCCAGTCCCCTTCGCGATTTGCAGTTTTTTGCCCCAAATTTAGTCCGATTGTTGTGATTATTGCTTTTTTTTTTTTGGTCTGTGTGTGTGTAGGAGTTCAATATCGAGAAGTTGCAGCTGGTCGAGGCCGAGAAGAAAAAGATCAGGCAGGAATATGAGCGCAAGGAGAAGCAAGTGCAAGTCCGCAAAAAAATGTAAGATTTATGATTTTGTGATTCCTATTTGTTATGTGTTTTGATTTTTTTGCTGCCTCGTGTTGGGTTGAATCGAGCTGTTGATTGAACCTTTTTTGATGAAGTTTTGTTTAGATTTTGGGATATGTGATTATTGATTAAAAAGTAATGAATTATCAACCTTAACTTGGCGCCTCAATGCTGATCCATGAGTGGTTGTGTTGATTTTCCCATTGATTTCCTTGTTCTGCAATTTTATTCGAGATCTGTACTAGGAAAGATTGCATTTTTGCAATTCTTCAGCGGTCATTCTCCTGATCAGAAATTCTAGAATTTAAGCAATCATGACATTAGAATTTGATGAATCTTAAACCTACCTTATTACATTGATTATCATATCCAAGTCTTTAACTCTTTCGGCTGTTCACTTTCTTAGACTGCTAATACCGTGATGAACTCGAAGTTGATTCAATTTGATTAAGATTCTGCTGGTAATTTGGTTGATTGCAGTGAGTACTCGATGCAACTGAATGCTTCTAGAATCAAGGTCCTTCAAGCACAGGATGATTTGGTAAATTCCATGAAGGAGGCAGCATCGAAGGAGCTTTTGAATGTCAGCCGTGACCATAACAACTATAGGAACCTTCTGAAGGATCTCATCATTCAGGTTGTGAAAACTAAGCCCTGATAGATGATATAATAATGACTGCCATTTGCAAGTAATGTTTCCAACATATGACATTTCAATAGATTTCTGTAAAAATTAAATTCAGTGGAAAAATGATTACTTTGATTAGGTGTCCTTTTCTTCAGTCCTCTTGCGTTAGGCTGATAATTATGTGATATTCGCAGCATTGAGAAGTGAATTTCTTTTGTTGCGTAAGATTTAAGTTTTGATAAGTTTCGGAAAGCCGTGGACCTGCGGGGTTAACAAAATCCAGGTAGAGAACATGCGGTGAATTTTATTAATTTTGAGTTGTGTCAGCTGTATGATATTTTCTTTAGCGGAAAGTCTTTTCGTTATTCATATTACAAGAGTATATAGTGAGAACAATGAAGAGGTGGCAATCATGTAAGTTGATATCATATTTATGAGAATCGAATTGGACCACATGTTCGACTGGGAAGGATCACCTATCAAACTTATGTCAGAAGAATCAGCCAAGAACTTGTCTAATTTGATTTTTTTATTCTTTAATTTAATTTAGTATATCTTTAATTAAATAAATTTTATTTAGCTTTTCTGGTTTGATAATTGACTTGTATTTGAGAAATTTGGATCCAGTCAAATCTTGATGTGTGTAAACTTGTTGATTAGTGTTTGTCTGAGAATGTACTTCTGCATTTCAGAGTTTATTGAGGCTGAAGGAGCCATCTGTGTTATTGCGGTGTCGTAAAGAGGATGTACATTTGGTGGAGTCCGTCTTGGATTCAGCAAAGGATGAATATGCACAGAAGGCCAATGTTCATCCACCCGAGATCATAGTTGATAATGTCCACCTCCCGCCTGCCCCCTCTGGTCGCAATTCGCACGGTCCTTTTTGGTAACAAAAGTTCTACTAAAATTGAACGAACTTCATTTTGTAGGAACTTCTGATAAATTGCAGTGCAGACAAAAAATGCTCTACTCGAGATTGATTTTTCTCTGTTCTTATCCCTTTCTTACTCTCTCCCGCTTGGTTCTCTGCAACTTTTATTACTTTCATATCTAGACTTGTAGAAGATTTAAAAAAGGCAAAAATTGCAATTTTTCCTTTTAAAAATTCAGAAACTACAAGAATTAGCCGTAACTCTTTTTCTGTATGTTGTATTTCTAGCTCTGGCGGTGTGGTCTTGGCTTCTAGGGATGGGAAGATTGTGTTTGAGAACACTCTTGATGCTAGATTGGATGTTGCCTTCCGTAAAAAGTTGCCTGAGGTAACTTTTTTCATCAAAACCTTTTCTCTATATGTTAATAAATAATATGTGAACTATTAGTTTTTTCAAGGGTGCACCGATTTCGATTAATACCTCTCCAATTATCATTTCATATGTGAACATTAATACATCTGAATGTAATGGAAAAAAAAAAGATATGTAGTACTACCTTAACAATTTTTGTTTCGTCTATTTTATAACCTTTCATATTCACGTTAAATTTGTATCTGATTGCAGATACGCAAGAGTCTGTTCAGTCAGGTTGCTGTGTGATAGATTATCATCTGATGGCATTTGTTTTTCAACTTTTTCCTCCTACTGTTTGTGTTTTTGTCTCGTGTCTCGAGTTCCTTTGCAACTGCAGATTTGTTTGTTTTTCTTCTTTTCTGTTAAAAAGAGTGTTGAGTATATTTATGTAAGTTTTAGCTTGGTGATCCTATTTAAGATTCATATTTGAACTCAGTGAAATAATGCTTGTAAGCTGCTTGGAGCTAATAATAAAGCTGGATTGAGAAGGTCATAATGCTGCATTGCTTCGCTTTTCATTTTGCTCCAAATATTGTGGATATGATTTTAATCGTACTCTGTTCATTGTTAGCTCAGCATGCATTTGTCGAGTATGAAAAAAGAAAATGACTACTAAGTAAAAGAAAACAAATATGCTAATTTAGTGCCCCCTAACCCTCAATTCGATATTAAACAATAAATTATTTTATCATACTCTTCATTTATCTCAAGTTTTCTATCCTTAATTCTATTAATACAATTTTAAAATAAAGTCTTCGTTGCACATTTTTATATAATATTATTTACTATTCAGCTATTCATATATTTTTACCTATTACTTACTTTCATCAGTTTATTATTAGATCATTTTAGACAAAAACAAGAATACTAATGATCTATATTTAGTTAATAGATTTCTAATGATCAATTTCTCATACCATACTATAGTTATTATTTTTTGTAATCAAAATTTTATTTATAATATATGAGTATGTATATTATATAATTGGAAATTTGTGTCTAAAACCACAAATAATTAGTAATATATAATATCAAACTAAGAATGGCAATTAGAATAAATGGAGAAAATATTATTTTATTAATATAATTCATTCATTTTAATTACTACACCTCCATTTTTATATCAATGATAAGTTTTAGTATTTCTTAATAATATTTTTCATCTTAAGCTTACTAGCAAAATGAGAAAGTATTCAAAAGCAAATCAAATCAAACATATCAAATCGTCATTAAACTAAAGTACGGAATTGTGAGATTCCTTTTTCAACAACTAATAATCCCTTTTTGACCCCAAAATAGATAATAAATAAAAATAATAATAATATAATAATTGGAAAAGGAAAAGAACAACATTACCTTCCTCATTTTCGTGCTTCAGTAAAAACTACTCAGTAAGTGTGAACGAAGCTTTTTATGGAAAACCCCTTTCCCTTATAATGAGCATTGGGCTACCTCATTGCGATTAAAGTCCCAAACTTGGGTAATCAGAGGAGAAAGGCGATCGTAATCGGTTCAGAAAATCGAAGTGTTTTTGGTAATGGAGTCCAAGTGGGGAAGACTAAGGGCAGCCTGGTTTTTCCGCTTCACAATTTTGGCTCTGATGGCGACCGGAGTTAGATCTTGGACCGGCGAAGTCCACGGCCGGGTAGTGTGCGATGTGTGCGCCGACTCTTCAATCGGCCCAGAAGATCATGCCCTACAAGGTGAGATTTGGGGTTTTCAATTGCGGTCGATTTATGGGTTTTGCCTGTTTTGTTGCAAAGAAATTAATTGTTCTTTCGTGGTGGATTTCGTTGAGCTCTGTTTGTCTGTGGCTTTCTTTGGGTATTGGGTCGGTGATTTTTTATTTTTTATTTTTGGGCTCAGGATTGGAGTTTTGATAGGATTATGATGATTTCATTTTAGCTTTACCTTTTGCTCTCTCAATCTCAAATGTGCATCCTTGAGAAAAGATGATGTTTTATGACTTTATCTCTTGGATAAACATGTTTCTCTTATTTGTCTAAAGCTATTTGTTTATTGGCCTCATTTGTAATTTTTTCTTCATTGGCAAACGTTAATTAATGGGTTTGCAGGATTTGTTCCAAAGAAAATACTTGTTCTTTCATGGTAGATTTCATTGTGCTCTGTTTGTCAATGGCTTTTCTTTCGGTC